TTTTCCAATTCCAATTATTTGGTCTAAAATTGTATAAAATCCCCAAGGTGACGTCTCTGAATGTCTCAGACTCAGACAGCCGATATTCACATTTGAGGAGCTGAAACCAGTGAATTTCTGGCACTTTGAGGTGAATAATGACTGAACTGATTGAATCGATTATCACGATAGCAGCATGTATTTTCTGTCGATCGACTAATCGATTCATTAATTGTTTCAGCTTTAATTGCTGCTTTTACTTTACTGAGCCAATAATCTGAATACTCTCCCCATCACTGCTTTGTATTATGACACAAAGCAGAGCACAGGCTTATTCCTGCCAGCCATGAAGATTACATAACCCACCGGCCCTCCGACCCCCCACCACCTCCTCTCTCTTTCTTACACCTCTCTTTACTCCTCTTGTCATTTCTTCTCGGCCGGCAGCAGCAGCAGCTTTTCGAGCGGTGCTGCCATACAGACGCTGAATCCAGCATTCCTCTCAGTTCAGACGCGCCGCCGTGCATGCAGCATCGAGCTGCACGTCAGTTTGATTTGCATGTGCGGCTGCAGGATGGCGTGCATCACCACCACAATGTGCACTGCGCCTAATACCTGCCTCTCACGACTTACTGCACTTTACATACAAATCTGTGCCTGCGGCCCACATCAGTCCTGTCAGGACAGCTGCGTCTCGCCTGTGTGTGTATTAAAAATGGACTGAAACGCTGTGTGCATGCTAATGTGTGCGCTGAGGTTTGGGGAATAAATCTGTCTCCTTCTTTTGAGGAGCGTGCTGCCTCTTGTCTCGTGATCTCGGCACACTGAAGGCAGATTTTTTTTTAGTCATGGAGAAAGAGAAAGGATGCTGTCGCTGCATTGTAATCACACAGTGAATCTTTTGTTCTGACGCTGTTTGAGGTCAATCATCTGACAAGGTTCCAGGTCCGGTAAATGCATATCAAAGTAGTTATTGATCTCTTAGTGTGGAACCTGGAGTTATTTTAGTTAGTAACAGGGTTATCTTATAAGTCAGATTTCAGTGAAATTTGGAGAAAGGGTCAGAGGAATTGATTAGTTTCTGATGTGGATCTGGATCCATTAGTACAGAGTCTGGAAAGTGTCAAAGGAAAAGCCTAATTCATAATTTATTAAACAATATTGCTAGGATTTTAGGAAATGTTTAAGGGAAGTAAATCCACTCGCTCATTTACGTTAGATTGACAACTTTACCTCTTCATTTTACACTGTCGAGTTATATTGTGACTCCTCCCAGTACCCCAGTGACACCTGCAGGGCATTATACATTCAGCTCATTCTGTTAGTTGGCCCACAAAATTGTGTGTGTGTGTGTGAATGCATGAACGCATGAGTGGTCGCAGCTATGGTGAGTTTGCTCTGGTTTCGACAAAGTTTGGTAGAAAACATTGGAGCCTCATGATCATTTCTTTTATCAATTAATCTGTTCATTATGAAATGTCACGAATTATCAACGTCCAACTTTACAGCGATTCAGAAGGGCGAAAAGAAGCTAATCCTCAGATGGAGACAGAAACGCAGAGAATTTCATTATTCAGCTCTGAAAATGAAATGAACAATTTGGCTATCCGATATGATGGATAAGTTTTCATAAAACATGTCAAATATTCCCTCCAGGTGTTGGGCTTAAAGTGGACAAAAACTATATTGAATATATATATTCAATATATATATTTGAAATAAATGAAAAATGTAACTCCTAACTAATCATTTAAAGGTCCCCTCCAGACAGATATTAGGACGTACCAGATAATGTTTATGTTGTTGCAAAAATACTCACTCCTTCTACCTCCAAAATCTATGAATAGTGCAAATTATGTATATATTAAATATATATATATATAAGATATATATACACATATTCAGTTTCTGCTGGACATAAGACATCTTCCTTCAAGTCCAAGTCCATTCTCAGTGTAACAAGTTTCATAACCGGACCTGAACTATTTGTCAGCAAAAAAAACATTGCTGGTTAGCCCGCCCCTTAAAAATCAGATGTTCAGTGACGAGAGAGACTTTCCACTTCAGCTGATGAAATGTGGAATCCTTCTACTCGTCAAACTCCTGACAACAAACCATGACCATTTAACATGGCTGAACTCAGCATCAGCCAAATCAGCGTGGTTTTCTATCACAGTGAGTCGCAAGTATATGGATGCAGAATGATTCAGACCTCTTTCTAAAGGCAGCACCTGGCCTGAGAGGGCTTAATTGGGTGCAGGTTCTCTCTCTCTGCAGTGTTTGCAGCGTGGCGTTGTTATGACGCTGTTAGCAGCAGGTTGGTTTCCCAGTTACTATTGTTGTCTGTGTAAAATCACGTAACGGAAAGGGGCTCAGAACCTGAAACAATTTTAGTGGCAACCAAAGCTCTTTGGAAACGGAACGGAGGCAGGCAGCAAGAGGCCCGCAAAAGTGAGGGCCCATAAAAAGCAACAGCAGCGTCACCACCCTGCACTGGTTTTGAAACAAAACAAAGGACAACACAGAGAGAGAAGAAGTGTTTGTGTGTGTGTGGTGTGTGTTGTGGTGTTCGATGCTTTCTGATAGACAGATATGTCCACAGCTACATGTTTTTGTATTTCCTCATAAGACAGCAATGTGAGGAATTCCAGTTATTCCTCTGGCGCCGCTCCATGTCTTCTGAGGAGACACACCTTCGGTTTTACTTTTAATAGCAGGTTGTGACGTCAGGGGGCGGCGCACGGTGGGGTGACTTTAAATATCACCTTTTACACTTTGTGCGTCAGCTGCTTGGCAAGTCACACGCATCTCCAAGCGTGCACACAGGAAAAACAAACACTAGTTGTTATGCATCAGAGGCAGATCCAAAATGGCTGCCCCTCCTCCTGGTGCCCAGGCCTGCTTGTAGGTAACAGACTGGCTGGGTTCAGCTGCTGTAAGCTGGTCTGAGGAGGTTTGAGCCAGATGCTGCTCTGGAGACACACACACACAGTCAAACACAGTCACACACAGTCACACACAGTCACACCCTGTGACGTTTACAAGGCGCCTGGCCGTTAGACCGCCAGTGCAGCAACTCCAGATGGAGCAAGCACACCTGGGCTCTTCTTCTTCTTCTTGCTCTCAGAGCCTGTTACACTCACGTAGGATCTGGAGTCACTTACTGCATCCAGCCGTAAGTGTCGAATGTGAGATTGGGTCGCTGCTGCGGTTGCTATATCAACAGGAAATGTGAAAGAGAAGCTGTAGACTGGGTTTGATACATGAGGAGGATTCTGTGTTGGGCTTTGTTTAGACTGATGGCTGCAGGAAGTTTGAGTCATTTTTGCATCAGTGGGAGTTTTGAAGTGCCTGATGGCTGTTGTGAGCTGTGGACAGAGGCAGCGAATCCTCAGTGAATCTTCCCAGAGTGCAGATACATGCAGTCAGTGGTTTAATATAGAGAATCTGAATGTTACAGAAGGGTCACAGGTCACAGACTGCACACTCTGCTGCTGCCGAAGGGAAAACCGAGTAAAAGGTTGACCAGGATGAAGTCTGATCAACTGATCTCTCATCCTGAGCTATGTTAAGAAGTTAAGTATGCTTTCATCTTGTGGTATGCTGGGCCGCCAGAGAGACTGTCCCCTCTGGAGTCTCATCACTCTGCTGCTTTTACTTCCCTCGGACTAAACTGTTACAGAGGTTGGCACAAATACTGAGGTGCGAAAAGCTGCAACGATCGGTCGATTCATCGATTAGTTGTCAACTATTAGATTAATCAGCAACTAGAAGTAGTTGTTTTGAGTCAGTTTTTCAGAATAAATGAGCACATTTTCTGATTTCAGCTTTTAAAATGTGAATGTTTTCTGGTTTCTTTAGTCCCCCTTTCTCCTTAAGGGACCCCTTTCTATAATTTATTAAACAGACTAAATTACATATATATTTTATATTATATTAAAAACTGAACAATGAACCCAAACAGTGAACTGCAGGAAGTTTGTGTGAAACGAGAGATTTGGATGAATTTTGAGCAGATTATTTCCTGTCCGGAAACTTTTAATACAATCTTCTGTATTATTCATGTATTTTTTTTAATCATTTTTTAACATTCGTACAGACTTAATAGACCTACTGTGTATGTTTTTTAAATTGTCTAGCACGCCTTAAAATCAAGAAGGCCTCCTGACCCCCCATTAAACTTTGGCGACCCCTAGTAGGGGTCCTGACCCCCAGGTTGGGAACCACTGCTCTCTGACA